ATAGAATCGGCTGATTTCTCGTGATTTTACATGACATTATGATCTGCAGAGGTCACACCTTTTTGCAAACCGCTATATTGCGCTTTGCAAAAAGATGTGACCTCGCATGAAAATCGGAGATTCTGTAGATTTTAAGAATCTTATCGATTTCAAATAAATATAAATATAACCGATCGAAAATATGAATTAATAGACAATCTAGAATCTCGGAAATTTTCCCTTTCATCATCCCAAAAATCATGGGGTCACGTCTTTTTGCAATGCGCTATAGTAGGGCCATGAGTACTGCATTTATCAAATTTAATTTGATTGTGAAATAAAAACTTTACGACGGCTTTCAAGTGACTTTTTCTCGAAAAATTTATTAATTAATTGTCATTAAAAACTCGTCTTGAAATAAAATAATATTCCTGGATTGAAATTTTAAAAACTTTCGCGAAATACTATATAGTTATTGGATACGAAGTAACCAATAACGGAAATTATTTGTAAAATAATTTCATTATCTGGCTGAGTAGCATTCAATAACGGTATTATCCGGTATCTTACGACGACCGAGCCAACAGAATAACTTGAGTTCTTTTAATGATGGTTGCATCATCATTAAAAAGAACTCGAGTTATTCTGTTGGTATGACCATAGTAAGGTGCCGGATAAAGTACGATTATTTTAAACACATATACCAGGAACGAAGTACGAAGAATATGGTTTAAAAATTGCTTTCGGTAACGATATTAAAAAAAAGGTAACTACCTTACTGTATTATCTTATTCAATACAGTATAGTATCATTTATGTTTATATAATAAAAAAGGTGTACAGTACGGTTAAATAATATAGTACACATAAATTTAAGTACAGTACACAAAAATTTCTACATCCCGTATAATTTCAAGATTTTGATGTGACATATGTGTATTAACTAACGTACGTACGTACGTATGCACGTACGCGCACAATATCAGATATGAACTGTAAATAACAAAATTTTTTTAAGCAACAGAATATTTTTACTTACTGTAGAGCACCAACTGTTGATTGCTTAGTCAATTTTTGAGATATAGTAGATATAGTGCATTTTAATAAAAGTATTTAATTCTAATGAATAATTAATTTACTGTTGAATAATTTAAATGCTTGTGGAATTGTAGCAAATTATAGTATAATACGCTAACTCAAACAGAGCAAACACTTAAAGGTACAATCCAATTTTGTTCTAATTTTAGCCCGAACCTTTTTTTTTTTTTTGTGTAGATGTTTGTTCAACCTTATATGTAATTATTGGAATAGGTCCCAGTGTTGGCATTGGGCATATGTCCAATACAAACACTGATATAAAAGGTATATACCAGAATTTAGACACAACCAGGAATCAGAATGTTCTTAGGTGAGCCAAATAATTCTTTAAAATTAAATGCACTATTTGTTCCACCTTGTTGGTAATTAATCCAACCCAGGAATAATAATGAGTACGATGTACTGTGCGCTGTATGTATTTAACGTATTTGCAACCCCAATTAGCCCACTACTATATGCGGTTATTCTTAAATTTCAGTCAACCAATTACAGTTCATTTGTCCTGATATGTAAACGATTAGTCATTGTAAAAATCAGGCCATCATGTAAATTAGAAAAAAAAAAAGCATGATAATATCAAGGCCAATCAAATTCAAGCCAACACCTCAGGCCACTTTTTCAGTACAATAGATGTTGGAAAAATGGAAGTTATAAAATATCTTGGGGTTTCTCAAAAACGTTATCATTGTACTATCTGAGACTAACCAATTCTAGATGTGTGAATCCGATTCTTCGATTAATGGGTCTACAGACCAAGATTTATTGATGTGCGAATCCTCCATCGATGATACTTTGACCATGATTAATAACAAACTTTCTACTGCTCAACCGTCTACCGTGAAGTTATCAAAGTTTGAAGCTCAAATTCAAGCAATGTTCATCAATAATAATGCAATGAACTCTTCATCTTCTCAATCTGGAAATTTGTCATTGAATAAATTTCAATATTCAGTCCCCTCTTCAAACATGCTTTCTCTGGGTTCTTCAAAGTCTTTTCTATATTCATCAAACTCTACCTCCCTTGATGCTTCTAACCAAAACTCTAACCTTGATGATTTCAATTCTTCTGAATATTTATACTATTCGCCTAATGCTAGCGAAAGCTCTATTGAAGATATCGGTTCCCTAGATACATTTTCTCCATTAACTCAAGATTCAAATGTCTCTTCAACTAACTCTACATTGGCCGACTTTAGTAGTCACTCTTCTTCAATGAAAGATACATTTGATACATATAATACCTTATTTCGTCCAGGGTCAAATATTGACCCTCTAGGCATCCAGTCTGAAAATGGTAGAAAACGTGCTTCTATTAAATGCGATTCGACTTCTTCCGATGAATCTTTAAAAAAGAGACGTAAAGCTGAAAATGTAACTGTTAAATCCGTAAAGAAAACAAGTATTTACTACAAGTCCACAAAAAAGATTGATCCTTTTATCAAATACGAAGCAGATTCTGAAAGTTCTTTGACACCAAATATGCATTCAAAATCCCCTGTGATTGATTTGAATACCATGAATCGAACCACCAAACCTTTTGATACTAATTCTGTTCAAGGCAAGCATTCTGATAAAAACACATCTTTTGGTACGAAGTTGCCAATACCTCGCCTCAAGCATTTGACCTCAACTTTTCAACCACAACCAAGTTCGCAAACTCTAACAAACAAACAACAAAAAAGAACTGCTCACAATGTGATTGAGCGCCGTTATCGAAATAACATTAATGAGCGAATAAATGACTTAAAAAATGTGATTCCCGCACAAGATGATGACGTAATCGAAGAAGTAGTCGGAATTCCACCTAGAACGAAAATAAATAAAGCTACTGTTTTGAAAAAAGCAACCGAATATATTAAACATTTAAAAATGGATAATCACAAATTCAAAAGTGAAAATGACGATTTAAAAAAAATCATTGCAACTATTCCTGGTGGTACCGAGTTATATAATTCTTATTTCAAAGTTGAAAATGAACTCACTCCGCTAAATACTCCTCTTTCTGAGATTGATTCTCTTCCGACTCCTTCCTCTGGAAATGGTGCCTCAAGAATATTGATGACTTTGTTCATGTGCATAGTTTTTTTTGTAAATCCAACGAAATACGTTCAATTAGTTCCACATCATCACAGTGATGAAGGACGTGTTATTGTTAGTAATAATTTAAATAATACCGAATTATCAGTTCAAAATGAAATTTATAATTCGCAAAGTGATATAGTAATCGATATTTGGTATGTATATTAAGATTTCATTTCTTTTTCTAATACTATAATATAAAACTTATATGTTACATTATTAAAATAGGTATTTGATCAGGATCTTTGCATTCCTTATGTGCTTTACTTATATCGTCTGGCCATCTTTGTATTCAATTAAAGAACAACAAACTCGCAAATCTGCTATAATTTCTTGTTTAACTTCCAAAACTAAAGATGTAACAGAGCTTTATTCATCTCTTTCGTCCCTTTCGAATTGTTCGTCAATGAATACTTTTGGTTATGCAACTAGTCTTTTTATCGAAACTTTAAAATTATTTTTAAAATTTTTGGGTTGGGAAATTCCTTGTGCTTATTTTAATGTAGATATGGATGAAAGATTGTTAGAAGTTGAATTATGGAACCGACTTGGTGAAGCAGAATTATGTGGTGGTGAGTATTTAAATTATGTAACTTATTGATACTGTATATGATATTATTATTTATAATTTTTTTTAACGTTTCTTATCATTTTTTCAGGAAACAAGCGTGCAACTTGCCTATCAGTCTTATACACATGCCTTCGAACAATTAATCTTTTGGAAAGTCCTTACACTTATAATAAGAGTATGCGCATCAGTCCTTCTCGTATATACGCAAACGCTGCATTACAATGTTATGTTGGTCTTCAGTCAGTTCCCTCTTTATCCCATAGAGCTGTATCTTATTTCTGGAAATTAGCTATTAAAGAAAAGGGTCGTTCCAACTCTGAAGAGAAATGGCTTGAAATAGCACTTATTAACGACCATAATAATGATATTTTGGAAATCGTAGCTAATAGGATCAGGGATCATGTTTTTCATTTATCGGAAAACGAAGAAATAATTAAACCCAAGATCTGCACAACTGTCCCACTTGTTTATGTTTCCGAAGTTCAAGCTCTCTTCCATTTCAAGGAAGCCTTTGCCAATCTTATTTCTGTACGACATAGCGTCAATAAAGTTCAAAAAAAGAAATCCAAATTTACCTTTTCCGAACTTCTTGGTATTACCACACCTGCTTCCCTAATGCATTGGTATGCATTGGTTGGATGTATTGTCCAGGCTTTTTATGAGGGTGAAAATGATCTTGGTGCAAAACTAGTAAACAAGTTAAATGAAGAATCAAAAGCTAATGACGACTTGAGTAAACAAATTATTACAATGAGTTTACTCTCTCGGTATCTCTTGATTTGTGATAAGATTGAAGCTTCTATTCATTATGCAGATAAAGTTGTTGATTATGTATCTTTACGAAAAAATAAGAAAATAGAAACTACTGAAGTCGACAAATTGGTGATTAGAGAGATTGTCAAAGATATTGATAATTTGGTAGAAATTTGTGTTGGATGGATTGTTTTAGAAACAAGAATCGTTATTCTAGGAATTGTCGGAAATTTGCAATCAAAAAATAAGGATAAAATTTTACCAAATGTACTTGATGAAAGTTATATAAGATCTTCCATTAACGTTTGGGCTCGTTATCTACGTCGATTATCAAAATTAAATGTATTTGATAACATTCCAAACTTACGAGAAAAATTTATAAGGCAACTTGAAGCAGTCGGAAGGATTATATCTGGCATAGACGAAGAAATTGACCCTGTGTGTGATTGTGGTGATTACGATAAACAGAACAATAATGAATATAAAGCCACAAGAGCTTTGTGTACCTTAAAGGACATGTAAGCATAATAAATACATCCTTCTATATCTGATACTTCTATTAAGCGTATCAGTATTGTTTGTACATATTATTTGTCTATAGATTAAGGTAATGAAATTTGTAAAAATTGTTTTTCTTATCTTTTCGTTAATGAGTACTCCATTAATTCAAAATTAGCAACCACATTTTTATTATTACGCTCGAAAAAAAATCTTATTTTACTATTTTAGAAAATTTTTTTGTACACTTGCATTGCAGTACATCCCTTTATAATTTTTCTAAATGTAATGATTTTCATGTTAAGACTACATAATATGTAAAAAATTAGAATTTATTAAAGTTAATAATAATAAAAAAAAAAAAAAAATTATTTTTTTGAATTTTTGACTTAATCTATCTTATCGTACAATGCTGCATACAGTACTCCCGATCTTATTCAAAAAAGCCAAGCGAAATTGAATATTGTAATACCCCAGGAGTACTGTATGAAGAGGGGAATACTACTATACAAGAGGTAAATTCTGAAAAGTATAATCATGTTAGTTAATTATCGAATCTACGTCGTAATGTTGAAAACAAACTACCAATTTCTTGTACGTTGAAGCAGTGACAGATGTCAGATATGGGTCACACAACAATCAACAAACCAACACTACTCTAATCTGGACCTTAATAATGGAAGGCAACGATCGAGGCGTGGAAAGATTTGATCCGAGGAATTAGGGTCTTTGAATTGAAGCTCGAGATTACGTCACGAGGCTCTAATTCTGAGTTAAACTGATCGAATTATTCATTAATCGGGGGAGTTAGTAAAACGAAGAACCTTTTTGAACTATATGTGAGTCGTTAACTGACTTTAATCATGGTAAACTTTTTAGTCTTTATATACTTCTTTAGTTAATATCTAATTTGCTAGTTCTATCTACTATATATATATTATATATATCTATATATTACATCTGCCCGATCTGACATATCTGGTACTGTAGATTTAGCAGAATCAACCCGAACCACCTCTGCGACAATCTTTCCCTCCTACAACGTGCGCTTTTTCTAAATATATAATTTAGATTAGTAATAGATGTAACGAAAAGCATAATTATGATAAGAATTTTATTATCAGTATATAAAAAGTCATTTCATAGACGAATTGGTGAAATATTTTAAAAAGATCGGTTTTAGAAAGCAGGTTTGCAATTTTAACGTTGGTTTCCGTGATGACATTGGTGGTTTTGGATCAAAATTCCGACAAAAATTGGCATATCGGAAATGTGTACCAGGCTTGTGGCGCAGCAAAAATACAGTATTTATATTTACCCTAGGCACAAAAAATGTGCAGATCCTCGATTTTGATTGGCTAACGGCCGATGATCTTCGAAATTTTGGTCCGCATTACAAAATTGTTTACTAAATTCCGGCCATAATTAACTTTTTAATTTTTTCATTACAAAAATAGAAAAATAAGCACGCATTATGGTAAAACTGACCCAGGAACAATTTTCACTTAATAGGCGGCTGCGATTTCATTAGTAAAATTATGAGTAATTCCGGCTTGATTTTTTTAGCCAATCAAAATCGAGGGTCTGCCGCGCATTTTTTGTGCGGCACCTAGGTTCCATGTTCGATTATATTAGGGTTAGGGTCATGGTTATGAGTTAAAGGAAGATAGACTATATAGTAAAATTGTCCAACGAAAGCTTTTTGTTAGAGTGCTAAAGGTGGTTTTTTATGTAGAATTTTGAGTAGTAAGCGATTTTTGACAAAACGGACGTTTGTTTTGAACCTTCTTGATCGCGTTACGTTACACCCGATCTTGAAATCTGATTCGTAGTTTATGGTAGTGATTTAAGCCGGCTAAGGCAGCCGCGGCTAAGCCGGCTTAGTCGGCTGAGCCAGCCAATGTAATGTGTTCGGCTGGCTAATGTGGCTAAAGATTAGTATATAGTGGATTCCGGTAAATTATAAAATACGAGCAAAATTTTTGGAAAGTTTACGGAAATTTTCCAGAAGTATAGCCATTAGCCAGCCGATTAGCCGATATCTTAGACGGCTAGCTTAGCCAGCCGACTAAAACCTTACGGCTTAAATCACTAGTTTATGGTATCTGCGCCACAAACCTGGTACACATTTCCGACATGCCAAAAATTGACCGGAATTATAGCTAATGTGGGCTAACGCGTCGGGATTTTGACCTAAAACCGGTTGGATATATATATTACCGTTACTATTACGTGTGTATGTAAAATAAATGTTACTCGTTAATCTGATTGGCTACTTGTTAGCATCTAAGTCATAAAATATATATGAAAACATATCAGATATATTATATCAAAAATACGTATATATCAAAGCATATCAGATATATTATATCAATAAAAAAGTTTTGTCGATCGTGTTATTTAGATTAATATATGGGTCAGCCCTCATAGGACGACATTCGTATGATTGGTAGATCTACCCGTGATTTCCCGTGATAATTAACCAATCAAATCAATCAAAA